ACCAAAGCAAATGACGGTAGCGGAAGATATGTTTTCAGCGACCTGAAATATTTGATTGATAATAATATACGAGATAAAAAACCAATAGAAGGTATTTCTACATCGATTGAGGGAGCAGTCGGAAAAATCAATTATACTAACCATGTCAAGGAAAAAATCAAGAATTTGCCTACATTGTTAGGTTCTGACGCTCAGATTAAATTTGGTGAGAAATGCCGTAAAAGTATATTATCTTCTTTCATCCATTATCTGGAAGATGTTAATACCGCTCGGACAAAGGAAACATCACAAATTCAGGGTTCTGAATTGATGGATAAGGATTTTATCAAGGCTACTGATTTTATTCTTGGAATACGCTCATCTAAGTTTTGGATTGAGTGCAATTTAGAAAAAAGGTTGTTCGGTGCAATATCTGCTATTCATTTATTTTTCAATATTGAAGGCGATAATATTGTTCCAAAGGGAGTAAAATTTGGAGAACTTACGGGTTCTGAAAAGCAAGTAAGATGGGCTGAAGGAATACGTGCTTCATTCATCATTCAGGCACTGTCTAAATTAGCAGAGTTCGACCGTTTCGCACCGAATAAAGAAAAACGGGCTGATGTTATTATCAACGCCAATAAAAAACTGTTCGGAAATTCAGAAGCGAAATTCTGGATAGATAACAGAAATGAAAGTTTTGAATACCTTGCCGGTAAATATGCAGAAGCAATAATTGTTGAGGCTGAAAAAACTGGTAATAACGTTATTGATCCTCAAGACTGGAAGCAAATTCGGACTTCGTTAAAATCGTGAAAACGGGAATTAATTCCCATCTTTTTTGTTCGTCAATTCGTTCAGCATTCTATTAATTGCCTGGTCATACGTTTCGCGTTTACTGCAATAGTACGCGAGCCTATCCCGTGTTTCAGGGGTTATTTGTATTGTGGTAATTTTAGGCATTGGTAAACCTCAAAAAAATTAGTTTTGATCATCATCATCGAGCAGATCCCGTAACTGCGGGTATTTGCGGAATAGGTCGGGGTTCCGAGCCGCGACCAATTGCGCCGCATCATGATCAGATATGATGTACGCCACATCGCGTTCTCCTGTCCACTGGGTACCGTGGATCAATACATATTCTCCGGATTTGCGAAGCCGTGTTAGTCCCAGATGGATCCCGTTGCCAGAGCAAAAATTGTGACCATCCCAAACATCCAAATTGTCATTATACTCAACATGCGCTACAATTGGAGATGATGGATCTACATATCCATACATCGCGTTACCTACATCGGAAAAATATCCTGAATAAACTGGTACTCTCATGTTCTAACCTTCACCACCGCTTGGGGTGGTACAAAATAATGTTATACCCATTACTATTTAAAACTATTGTTAATTATATGCTACATATAGCAAATATACGGATATTTTGATAAAATACAACCAAACGCGCAAATTAGAAAAATAGGATGTTGTGATAGGGATAATGAACAATTACCCTATCTGATAGTCATTATGCTGTTATAATCAATCTATGAAGGTCAGCAAATCGGGATATAATCCAGGAGTTTTTCAACGATACGACCATAGCCAGTTTCACCGAGTGCCGAGGGCATCGCATATCTGGACGCGCCGACTGTTTTGGGAACTCGTCCCTGGATAACGTCCGCCTGAGTACTTTCTATTGTTCTGTCGTCATAGCCGTCTTCTGTTCTTGTTCTGGTTATCATCAGATTATAATTCCATTTTCTGAGAATCCTGGCACCGAACGGGCGCGGGAACTCTACGCGACCAAGAGCATCATTAATACTGTTTTCCCGTTTTTTGTATTCGCCTAAATCGAACTCTTTTACTATCTCAATCAATTCGATTGGGAAATAGTATCTGTCAGCGAGTTTGTCGCCACTGCCTATATCTGAAACATCAACGGCAAAAAAAGCATGAGGGTTTTCCTTTGTCGGTTTGAAAATCTGAACTTCACGTTTTCCTATCGTTTTCAGGCATTTCCATAACTGGGACGCCCTCGCACCGCAGAACGCTAACAGCGTCACAAACTCTTTTGTTATGCTATCTGGCAACATATCCCTACACGTCCGGAACTCGTCAGGAGTAAGGGAATACTCGTCTTTTGATTTTATCCGTTTATCTGCATGTGGTGTATCTGCCAGGCATTTCCGGAAAAGGTCAATCGGGTACCCGTTCCATTCGGTCATATATGGTGGTCGCTCCTGGATAAAGCCAAAAAACTTCAGAAGACCGCGTCTCTGGTGGTCGGTGATTGCCTTCTTATGATTTGTTTTATAATTTGCCAGGTCGATAGGTTCCCTGAAGTCCGGCAAATGAAGTACAGAACTTACATATCCCTGGGTGGTTGCTTCTGATGCAGACAGTCGGCAATACTTTACATACCCGTCTATCTTGTCCTGACTGCTTAGTAAATAATTTGTTAGAAGCGTGTCCTTAATTCCCTGAACGTTGCCAGGAATTTTTACCTTTTTGTCCCTCTTAAAATTCCCAAGGGTCGAAAAATTTTCAGGGTTGCCTAATTCCCCACCATTTCCCGTTATTTTCCCCATTTGCGGCATTTTTGAGGTAACCTTCACATGGCAAAGGCCAGGGGTTCGATTCCCCTCGAATCTATCGTCAGATGCGTCCGTTTCACCTATTACGGCAAAAACAAGTTTATTTGTATCTAAATTCGTATTATTGTTATTATCGTATTGTTTTTTGAGCCATTTTAGGCTATTATTAGTAATTTGAGAGATATTTATTCCTCTGCGATGTGCAAAATCGTACATATCCACATCAATAGTAACGTTAATTCTTAGTTTATTTGGTTTATTTTTTTCAGTAAATTTTGTCGAATTTATCATTTTTCTTTTTCCTTTTCCCAAATGTGTATAAATGTGTATTTGTGTGTATTACCCATTTATTATTGGTTGGCGTTCGCTATCACTATTCATTTTTCGGCATTCGGTGCCGTGTTTTTTGGGGAGAGTTCCGATTTTTTTCTGCTGATCACCCTCTGCATCAGAATGAAATTGGCTTTCGATTTCTGCATTCACATGTTTATTTTGCCAGGTAAAAATAGTTAGTATAACTATAGTAATTATACTAATTAGTTAGATTAATGATTAGTTGCTTGCTTAGTTGCTTGAATAGTTGATTAGTTGATTGTTGCTTGCTTAGTTGCTTCCACGCAAAAAACGATATGCATATAAATTCTGAAAATTTGAAACATTGATAAAAAATATCAATATTTACAACATTGAAAAAAAAATTCTCGTGTTACCTATCTGTCATTATTTTAATATATATTTTATGTAAGAAAAAAAGAAAAAAAAAAGAAGAAACCAGGAACCTGGTATTCTTCCGGAAGTGTGGAAGCAACTAAGCAAGCAACAACTAATCAATCATTCAACTAATTACACTAATTACACTAACTATCTTGATACACGTTGATAGATTCAAGATAAATTTCTGATTGGATCATTCGTGCAACTTCCATGACGTGACATCTGGAACATCGCTTATCTTTATGGCACTGTTTACAATAGTCTAACAGCAAACTGACTAACTTCTGCTTCTGTTTTGCGTTCATCATTAATCACCAGTGAAGACAATATCAATATCATCTTCATCATGTTCCAGATTGATCCCTTCACTTTCTGCTAATCTTGTGACTACTATATGTAAAGGACAATTGTCTTCTTTACTACAGAATATGGGACAGTTAATACAGGAAGACCCGTCATACTGTTCGCAGAAGGCACGTAACCCATTTATTAATTCTAAATTATTCATGCTATTACTCCTTGTTGCTCATCAATTTTGAAAAAGCCTTGTTCAGAACGTCTTCAGAGATATTGTAGAACGTGGCGCGTATCTCCTCATCATTTTTCAGCAAGTCTATTACCGCGTTCCGTGTTTCATCGTTCGGAACTCCTTTCATTCTATCATTTATCAGGCTCTTGATGCAGTCGGAACGAGTTTTATATTTTCCAATTCTAACAAGTGTATCTAATTTTTTCAATTCGTCAGGATTAAATCGAACTCCTACAACTGTGCCGTTATCATTAGACATACATATAAATTGTAATACAAAATATTAAATACGTTGTAATACAATTTAATTATAGCATTAATTAAACAACTAAATAATTAGTGCAACAAATTGTATAGGTTAGAGACAATGAACGGAATTATACACGTTTATGTAGCCTCAGATGACTTTATGTTCATCGATTGGGCTAAAAGAAGGTTCGGTAGGAATTTTAGCCGTGCCGTTATCAACGCGCTCAGAGAGTACGTTGGCGATGAGTATTCAGAAAAAAAGAGACAAAAACCGGTTGAAACGGTGGGACCAGATGAATTATGATCGTTCATCTAATCCCAGGCGATTATATCCCCCAAGATGCAGAACCAACGCAGAACCTGAGGGATAATAATATTATCATTGCAAAGGAAATAAAACCAGCGAAAATATCTCCCATAATTGATGCTGATGAAATTCAGATGCAGGACGAGATCCGGCTCGGGAGAATGATTGTATGACACTTCATATAGTGCCGTTTGATGTATGCGGCGATTATATAAAGGCGTGTTTCGTAAATCCCGAAACTATATCCTCGATTATCATTGAAAAATATTCAGGTGATTTGTATTACGTGGTCATACACACGAATAGAAAGGATTTTTATTCAATTGGTTTTGAGAATGAAACGGATGCTGAAAAACTCATGAATGAGTTTATCGCTGAATGTTATGCAATTGAGCACGGTTGCGAAAACTGCAGTGATTTTTGTTGCGGAGCGCGAAACGAGTTATGAAATTCCGGAACGATTATACCAAGCGATGTTGTGGGAACTGTTGCCACACTTCACCCAATGCAATTTTTTTACCGTCAAAACGGGCTCTTTGTGACATAACCGACACGATTGTAAATACTCGTTCGGAAACTGATTGCCTTCATTTTCAGAAAAAATCTAAATATTCTTCTCCCAGGGAGTTAATGAATGGGAACTAAAAATGAATCATTCGCGGATTTTGTATGCTCCCAGAAGTTTATCTCTGGTGAATGGTATTTAATCCCGTATGAAGGCAAGATTTTCAACAAAAAGCATAAGGAAGTCACCGGCTGTCCTTACCAGGACGGAGACAACAAACGGTACGTTATCGGTACTAAATGGCATGGAATTACTACCCATATCATAAAATCACGTGCTATCTGGATAGGTGCGCATGGTGGAGTAGTTCCAAGTCCGGAAATGCAAATAGATCATATTGACGGAAACACTTCAAATGATTGTATCGATAATCTCAGGCTTACCACCCAATCCCAGAATATGGGAAACTTGGCAACGCTCCATAAGCGACTTGGTGAGGGAAACCCTAACGCAAAACTGACTGAAGATGACGTCAGAGAGATTAGGTCAGCGATGGAAAACAGCGGAAACTCCCCGAAAGTCCGAAGGAGAATCTGTGAGAAATTCCACGTGTGCGAGCAGACGATTCGAGATATAGAAAATGGCAAATCATGGTGCTGAAAAATGACACAACTAAACTTTTCAAGATTTTATAACGATATTCAAAACGTAGCCGGTAAAGAGTTCATAGAGGCTTACCGGAAACAGAACGAGATAGACGAACTGAAAAAGAGACTTTCAGAACTCGAGGGAGAACTTCAGGAACTCCTGGCAAAACTCGTTGGGAAACAAGATGAGGTTTTTGCAGTGACCGACTTGAAGCCTTATCGCGTTGTTGATGCTGATTATGTCAAGGCAAACCTGCCGGCGGTTTATTCCAAACTCATAAAGTGTTCAAACACTTCAATTGGGAAAATCATGTCGGAGCATTACACCCAGGATGAACTCAATCAGTACCTGGCAAACATAAACCCTGACATGTTCCAGAAACTCTCCAGTATTTCCGTAACAGATTTGGAGAAGGAACTGGGAAAACAACGCGTGAAAATGCTGGAAGGAAAAGGCGTTCACATTCAGACAAAAATGAGTTCTTCTACCAAAGTCGTACTGAAGGAACCCGACAAATACAAAAACCCATTATTGGAGAATGATGAGTAATGACAACCACTGACATTATCACAATCAACAACAAGCCGGTAGCGGAGTACAATAAAGATGATATTGCACTTTGCAAGAGATTCATTCGGGCGGAAAATGCAACCCAAGCCGAATGGGAAAAACTGGTATTATTGGCGACAAAATACCAATTAAACCCCCTTCTTAATGAAATCTGGATTATTCCAGGTGTAGGTGTAACCATCGGGCTTCAGGGAATAATCAAACTGGCAATACGCACGGGACTTTATGACGGGATGCAGACGGAGACTAAGACGGATGCAAACGGGAACCCGATAAGTCATACGTGTACTGTATGGCGGAAAGACTGTTCCCACCCGACCGTAAAAACAATTTTTCATAATGAATTTGAGAAAAAATCTCCGTCCGGAAGACCGACAAACTGGGATAAAATGCCGTGCTATATGGGCGAAAAGGTCGCGGAAGTTCACGCGTTGAAAAGGGCTTTCTCTTTTATGGATTTGTATATTCCGGAAGAGTTCGGAATAAGAGACAATAGGGATGAAATACCTTCGGAACCTCTGGAAGCCGTCGTTAGCGGAGAACCCGTAAAGGTCGAGAGAATCCCGAAAGAGGAACCAAAAAAACTTTGCAGAATCTGTAAATCAAAGCCGCCAATGTCAGACTACATCAGGAAAAAATCCCAAGAAGGCTTCATCAACAATGGGCTGAATTGTACGCTCCCAGAAGAAATATGCATGGACTGCGCCGATATGATTTTTAAGGCGGAAAAAGAAAAGAAATTGCATGTCTGAAGACGATATGATTAACGCTCTCATCGAGTTTTGCAATAGCAGTCCTAAATGCAAGTTATGCAGATTTGAAAATACTCATCCATGTCCAGTATTCAAAATTGTCGAAGATTTTGGATATGAAGAAGAACTGGATAAAACCCACTCTTTTTTCTCTTAATTTTTTTTTAAAAAAAAGTATTTTGAATATTTTTTGAATAATTTCAAAATAATATGTCAAATCAGAATACGAAAGCCATGAGAATTTATTTCATTAGGTTTAGGTTAGAATCAAACGAAATACGAACACAATTACCGTCATATAGAAAATTAGCATTCTATACAACAGTATAATATATAGGATTTCTAATTATTAAATGTATAAGATATGAATAAACTAAAAAAGCCTCTATGGGCTTACATATACCCTGATCTCTATGATAAGGATAAACTAATAGCGATATACAAACAGCATAAATCACATAAACGGGCGGCAAAGGCTGTAGGATGTTGTGAAAGGACTTTCCGAAGAGCATGTCTCTATCACGGGATAAAGAAACCGTTCATGAAAGTACCCCCGAAAATATCCGAAATATTCCATGCCGTGAATAATAATGATAATATAACGGAAAACAAATCACCTTATGGGAAAAAATGGGAGAAGAAATAACAGACCCTCAGATAGATGAAATAATTTCCAATGAATCCAATGTACCGGATGCAGAGCCGGAAAAGGAACAAGAACAGCAAATTCCGGAACATGATGAACCTAAACCGAGGAAACCGCGTAAGATATACGAGAAAAAGCCTAAATTACCGGATAAGAAAAGGATTGCTCACTGTTTAGGTTGCGGAAATGAATGGCTTGCTCGCACTGGAAACAATAAAAATCCGTCAAAATGCACAATCTGCGGAAGTCGTAGATGCATTTGGAAAGACGAGATGGACGACAGTATAAAGGATTTCATCAAAGAAAAACATGAAGAACAGCACGAAGAACCTGAAAAAGAAGAGAAAATAGAACCAATAGGAGAAAACAAAATGGAACAACAATCATTATTCGATGATGTATTATATGGAGATGAAAAACCAATGCCGCCAATGCCGAAAATCCCAATAAAAACGATAGCCATTATGCTTGGTGTTGTTGGAATTGCCGCGGCAGTGTATTTTCTTGTTATCAAAAGGAAAAGGAATAACAGAAAATCTAATTCAGAAAATGAAGAGGAAGAGGAAAGGAAATATCCAATCCTTCCAGGATTAGGGGGGCTCTAAATGTTAGGTGATCAGTTTTCAGGAATTGCTGATGCACTGCAATTTGGTACAAAGATAGCGAAAGTATTGGACAAAATCGCGAACGACTGCGGAATTAAACAGCAGATGCGGAATAACGGTTATACTGATGGAAAATTTACGGTTGGAAATTGGAAAGTAATTTTCAGAATTGAGGACATCAATAAGAGAACAATTGATGCTGAGACAGTTCCAGAACAACAGAAGGATAATTCATAATGCCGGAAGAGGAATTAAACCGAAAGGACATCACAGATCTTCTTATAGGAGACAATGTCAATGACTTCGATGTAGATGACAATAACGAAAATGCAAATAGCAGTGTTGGCAATGAAGTTCCTGAAACACCATCAGAACCTCACCCAATAACCGGTATTATTGATATGCTTATTTCTTCATCTATCGAGCCGTTGGAAAAGCACGGATACCCTAAGCCTAATGTCTCGATATGGGAAGAATGGGGAAAACCGAACCTATCAAAGGCTCTCTATAGGTATATGCCTATGGATTCTCAAGCCGGTTCTGCAATAAATTCACCTGCGTTTGCCGGATTGATTGGTATTGGCGCTTTGGCTGTTGCCTTTTTGCCGGTCATCCTGAAATTCATTGAGAAGAAGAAGGAAGAAGATTCGATAAAGACGGAAGTGGAAAAACAGATAGAGGAACCGAAACCGGCAGGAAAACGAACGGAACCAACTCCAGAAATACCAGTGGAAAAGAGAAAAACCATCAAAACGGGAGATAATGCCGCTGAGCCTAAAATAGTGAAATTGCCAGGTGGGGGAGACGATGCAACACCACAAATTCCAATGTTGGATTTAATCAAACAGAATATGGCTAATGGCGGAGAAATGACGATATGAACGACCCGTTACAGATAGGAAGCGGTTTTGGTCATCGGATGTTTGCGGCTCCGACTGGTTCGGGAAAATCCTATACCGTTGGGGCGGCAGTGGAAGCGTTGTATGAACGGGAAATTCCTTTCATTTTACTGGATACAAAAACCATTAACCATATCGGACTTGTCGGACTTCACGACCTGAAGATAGTCAAAATATCGCCAAGATTGAATTACACCCATTTAGAAAAACTCCTGGAATACAAATATATTCTCTGTGTTCCGGCGTCCAAGACTATTCCAATTCAGGAAATAATCGCGATATACCGAACGATTATCAATTATATTTGGATGCGTGACAATAACGGACGGATTATAATCTGTGAAGAGGCTCACAACTATAACAAGAACGCTTCAGTACCTGATCCGCTCCTGGAACAGATTGCACGTGAAGGGCGTTCGTCAAAAATCTTTGTTTGGTTTATAACTCAGAGACTTCAGAATTTTAGCCAATTGCTATGGAGCCAGTGCACCTATACCTATCTTTGGCACTTCAATATCCCTTCTGATATACGCTATGCCGGTCAAATGGTGCCTAACTTCGATGATATAAACCGTGATGAACTGGAACGTCATGACGTTTTGGTATGGGATTCAAACAACTATACTATAGTCAAGGCTAATCAGATTTTACGGAAAACCAATCATAAGGGATAAGGAAACGTCATAACGGTTCGTAAATTGTAAAATCAATAGTACTGAATGCTAATAATATTCTGTTATGAATTTAGCAGATTTTATAGGCTCAATAGATATTAGTACCGTGATAGCCGTTATCACATCATTGTTTGGTATATTCAGCGGCGGGTATGCCGTAAAACAGACAAAGGAAAAACGTGAAGCAAACGATACTATAGACAAGATAAACCAATTCTTCGACCCGAATAATGATCAGGTTGTAGAGGCTCCCCCCGCCCTGGCGAAAGAGAGTTACACCATGAATGAAGCAGTACTTAATTTTCTGTGTGCCGGAAAGACTGACGCGGAAAAGGAGTATATTAGAAATATTGTTAGGACGAATGAGGCGGCTGGGATTTCTAACTATATGATTATTCTTCCATCGACTGAGTGGTTTAGAATAGATTATGGTCAGGTTACAGCAAACGGTTCTCCAGGTGCACCAATAACGGCAGAAGATCGGCGCGGTATTCAGCACCTGTAAAACTGCTCATTCATAATCCTTTTTTTCAGAATTTGCGGTATAGTATGCCGTAAATTCAATCTATATCATTTCTGAAGTCATACATCTTTCTAACTCTTACCCGGCACGACTGGATAAGGGAGGAATGAATATAATATGGCAAATATTACCGGCGCTTTTGGTAGCGCTATGAACTCGTCTATCGACCTGATCAAGAGATTTATTGTACCGATGTTTGTAGGCATGGTCATTATTGGGATCATTGTCGCTTTTCTTCCGGTTACCAGAAAATTCCTCGTAGCAGGCAACTAAATACTTTTTTTGGGTGATTCCACATGAGAAATAAACTATCAGTAATTTCACAGCAGATCAAAATTGACGGTGTAGATACTCTCAACTTGCCGCGTAACTCTGTTCACGATGCATATATTCTGCGTTTCAATATCAAAACCCACGCGACCGCATCAGCAACGGTAACGGCAAAGGAAATTCTTGACGCCATTTCAGAAATTCGTCTTGTTACCGATTCTACACGCGTTCACTATGCTTTAAACGGTCATGATCTCGCACTTCTTAACGCAAGAATTCAGGTAAACAGCACGGCTCCATTCATTGATTCAGAACCAGTTTCAATGAACGCAGATGATACCCACGACTACGATTTCTCTTTATACCTCGATGAAGGCGACATTCTCGCAGTACTCCACACTAACGTAGAATTAACCGTCAAATTTGCTCATCAGGTTAAGGCAAATGTCGAAGTTCTTGATGCAAGCGCAAAGATCACGATTAAAGAAAGCATCTATTCCACTCAGGAATTGGCTTCTGTTTTCGGAAAAGATTTCGAGAACGTTGCAGAACCTAAGATCTATGCTCAGACTGCGTCATGTAATGCAAATTCTGAGTTTACCGGATTTTT